ACCATTTTGATTATTTTTAATTGTTGTTGATTGCTTTTAATTGTTTTTAATCATAAAATGCTTTTAAATTTGCCATTTAATTCAATCTAAATGGATTTCAGCCTCTTTAAACGCTCAAGAGTTCAGCTGGCAAAGAGACGAGCGCTCGCAAAGCCTTCGGGTGTCTAGTCTTCATTTCTTTTTTATCGTCTTTGTCCTTTTAACTCCTGTTAATCCTTTTTAATTCATTCTTTTCCTTTTATTTTCTTATTTTTGTCCTTTTATTCCCCTTTATTGCCTCTTTTCCCCTTTTATTTCATCATTTTTTACTCTTCATCTTCTCTTAGCTGTTTCTTCTTTGCTTCTTTCTTCTCTCCTTTTCTTTTCCTTCTTTGCTCCTTTTTGCTTCTCTCTTCTCTCTTCTTTTTCGCTTCTTTTTGCTTTTCTTTTTTTTCCCTTTTTCCTCTTATTCGTCCCTCATTTGTCCGTCTTTTGTTTCTTTTTTGTCACTTTTTTGTTTCTTTTTTCCCTCCTTTTCGTCTCTCTTTTGTTTCTTTTTGTCCAGTTTTCTGTCTCTGTTTATTCTCCTTTTATCCTCTTTTGAAGTTCTCTTTTATTCTTCTTTTTGTTCCTTTTTTGTCTCTCTTTGCTTTTTTTATGTCCCTCGTTTGTCCCCTTTTTGTCGTCTTTTTTCCGTTTTTCCCTCTTTTTTGTTCTGTTTTTTTGCCTCATTGTTTAACTTCTTTTGTTTCACTTTTGTTTTTTTATCTTCTTTTTTGTCTCCTTTTTGTTTTTCCTTTCTCCTTTTTTGTTTCCTTATATTTCATTTTATCTTTTTACTGTTTTCTTTTCGTTTTATTTCATTATTTTCATTTCATCAAAATAAATGTTTCGTTTTTATTTATTTCATTTTTTGTTTTCTCTCTAATTTCGTTTCTCTATCTGCATTTTCAGTTTTGGTTTAAACCTGATTTTGCTTTTTAATTACATTTTAATTCCATTTCATTGATTTCATTTTAATTCTATTTTAATTCCATTTTAGTTTGATTTTAATTGTATTTTAATTATACTTCAGTTCTACTTTAATTGGACTTTCAATGGCTTATTTTACTGCTCTTTGAATTACATTTAAATTACATTTAATTAAAGTTTTTAACTACATTTTAAATTACATTTTAACTTCATTTTAATTATATTCTTACCTCATTTAAACTTCATTTTAACTCCACTTTAACTTCATTTTAAATTTATTTTAACTTTGCTTTAAATTCGTTTTCAATCCCCTTTAAATCATTTTAAATCACGCTTCAAATTAATTTTAAATAGATTTTAAATTATTTTTAAATTGATTTTAAATTGATTTTAAATTGATTTTAAATTAACTTTGAATTAACTTTAAATTAATTTAAAATCAACTTTAAATCAATCTTAAACCAACTTTAAACTGATTTTAATTTAATTTTGAATTAATTTAAAATTAAATTATTTTCAAAATATCTTTTTGTTTTGCATTTCCATGAAATGGCATTTCTGCCTTTTTGCCCGAGTGTATTTATGCATGACTGCAATTTCAGCTTTTTAATTTTAATTTTAGTTTTAATTTTAATTTTAATTTCAATTTTAATTTTAATTTTAATTTTAATTTTAATTTTAACTTAGTATGGGTATAAAGACGAGCTTGGTATTAGTATTAATAGTAGTACTAATCTTAATATTAACATATGTACAATATTAATGTTGATTATTTATGTTAATATTAATAGTAATATTAATATTTTTTGTTAGAATTAATATAAATATTAATAACAACAAAAATAATAGTATTAATACTATAAAGGTGTACATACACCTCAGGTGTGTGCACAACTCATGCAGCTGGCTGAACGGAAGAAATAAAATCTACTAATCAGTTTTAATTATTTCTTTTCCGATTTATCATTTTATTTATTTTTAAATTTGAATTTGTTTTATTTGTTTTCTTTTCTCGCTTTCAGCAGCAGCAGCAGCAGCAGCAGCAGCAGCGGAAGTGCCACTCGAGAGAGGTATCATCCGATCACCTCGCAGCCGGCCAGCGGCTTCAGTTTCAAATGAAATAAATTCACTTTTAAAAAACTTTCAAAACTTTTAAATTAAATTTTATTTTATTTTTATTTCAAAATCCAAAGTTTGCAAAAAGGTTCTTCGCCGACTACCGCTCTTTCCCTCCTGAGGGTCTTTATCCTTTTTTCTTCGAAATAAAGAGATAAAAAAGAATAAAAATGAATTAAAAAGAATAAATAAGAATCAAATATGATATGAGTGAAATAAGATGAATAAAAAAGAATAAAAATAGTTCAAAAATGCTTCAAGAGGGTTTTAATTCGCAACTTCCCGATTTGAAAATTCGAATTTGCTGCACAGGGCGAATTCTCAGGTGTCTAGACACCGCTTATGAAAGCAGCAGAGAAGAAGAAAAGAAAACAATTTATTTATAATCAAAAAAGTCTTTTTTAATTTAAAAATTAAATTATAAATTATATTGAATTAATTTAAATGCGACAACGGCAGGATTCGAACCTACGCGGGCAGAACCCAATGCCTTAGCAGGGCACCGCCTTAACCACTCGGCCACGTTGTCTGCTGCTGCTGCTGCTGCTGCAGTCCGCAACTCCTGCTGCTGCTGTTGGTGTTGCTGCAGCTGCTGCAGCTGCCGTTGCTGCTCTTCGCATTTCTCTCTAGGGGCAGTTTGGGGAAGCAGTAGCAGCAGCAGCAGCAACAGCTGCTGCTGCTGCTCTCTTTGCTGCTGTCGCTTGTTGTTGCTAGCGGGGACTTGAGCTGTACGTACACCGAAACGCTGCTGCAGCGGCTTGCAGCACAGGACTTTGTAGAAGAAATTGTTCAAATACTATAATACAATACGATATAGAATTAAATAAATGCAGCAGCAGCAGCAGCTGCTGCTGCAGCAGCCGCGAACTGCTGCCAGTGACATACGAGTTCAGAACCAGCAGCAGCAAACTGCAGCAGCAGCAGCAGCAGACTGCAGCAGGAGCAACAACGGACAACGTGGCCGAGTGGTTAAGGCGGTGCCCTGCTAAGGCATTGGGTTCTGCCCGCGTAGGTTCGAATCCTGCCGTTGTCGTGTTTTATTTTTAATTTTATTTTTATCCTAAACTTCAAGGGGGCCCCCCACCCCACAGGACCCTCTTTGGGGGCCCCTACGATGTCCGAGCAGCAGCAGCGGCAGCAGCAGCAGCAGTAAATGTGGCAGCAGCAGCAACTGCAGCAGCAGCAGCAAATGAATAATTTCTAAAGAGCCTCTCTAACTTTGCATGCACTTAGTCTTTCAAGTCCAGACTCATTCCCAACAAACTACCCAAAGGGGCCCCCCTTCAGTACGGTGGGGCCCCCCAGGAGTCCCCGGGGGCCCCAGTGGGGCCCCCCCGAGGGTCCCCCTACCCCAGGGGGGCCCCCGGGGGGCCCCCCTGGCGTAGGATTTAGCGGGGCCCCATGAAGGGAGGGGGGGGGCCCCCCATGGGCATGCCCATAGGCATTGGGGGGCCCCCCATGGGCATGGGCATTGGGGGGCGCATGTTCGGGGGGGGGGCCCCCATGCGGGGGCCCCCCATGGGCCCCAGGGGCCCCAGGGGGGCCCCCGGGGGAGGGTACCGGGGGGGCCCCCTGTCGTCCCCCTCAAAGCCAGGCCTCGGGGGGCCCCCCGGGGGCCCCCGGGGCCTCCCCCGGGGCTCTCTAATTTTGGTACAATTGCCCATGTGGGTGGAGACTATTTCCCCGGGGGGGGTGTTGGCCACGATTTGAACTGCGCGCAAACCCTAAACCCTAAACCCTAAACCCTAAACCCTAAACCCTAGACACGGCTGCAGCAGCGGGAGGGGCTGGTGCGCTGCTGCAGACGGGAAGCCTCGCGCTACAGCACCGGGCGGATCGTCCATGACACAAACTGCAATCAGCAGCAGCAGCAGCAGCAGCAGCAGCAGCAGGACTTACTGGCCCGCATGGCTACCGCTTGGTCTATGAAGGCTGGAGCCTGGAAGGTGCTCTCCCGCAGCAGGTCTGAAGGCGCAGCAGCAAACCACAAAGCCTTCACTTTAAGCAGCAGCAGCAGCAGCAGCAGCAGCAGCAGTGCTTCTTTTGCATCCTCAACGACACAAAACTCGCAAAGTAAGTAATAGAGGCAGCACAGGCGACAGCAGGGCCCCCCGGGGGCCCCCTGGGGACCCCGGGGGCCCCCTGGGGCCCTAGGGGCCCCTTAGGAGGCCCCCCAGGGGGGGCCCCTCTGGGGTGCAGCGAAGGCCCCTGGCTGCTGCAGCAGTCTGTCTGTGGGCATTTCGGGGCATTGGAAATGGAAAGAAGCAAAAAAGAGACGAAAAGAAGGAAAAGAAGGTTTAAAGTGAAGAAAAGAATCATTTAAAACCGTTGAAGGCCATTAAAAAGCATTAAAAGGCATTTAAAAGCATTTAAACGCATTAAAAAGCACTTAAAATGGACCAATGGTCTCACTCTGGAAATATTCAACTTTCTGGTTTATGTGGCGGCGGCCGCTGGCGTGCTGGCGGCGGCCAGCGGGGGAGGAATGGGTGAGGTAAATGTCACAATATTCGCAGTAGAATTTGGGCATTTTGGCGTAAACCCTAAACCCTAAACCCTAAACCCTAAACCCTAAACCCTAAACCGTAAACCCTGAAGCGCGGAGCTGGACGCGCGGAGAGGCGAGCCGTGGCGGAACGGAGGAACTGCTGCGCAGTCCGGCGCGGAAATGAGAAATATTTCGGCTAAAATGGATCAAAAGACAAAATTAGAAGAAAAAGAAAACAAAAAGGAAAGAAAATCGAAAGAAACGGGAGAAAAACCGGAGAAAATGAGCAGCAAGAAACCACTGACGCCCATTCAACTTCCTGCACAGCCTGCGGCCCCCGCCGCTCTCCCTCAGGCTTTGAGCTCCCAAATACCTTTTTCTGCAGCTTTTTATTTCGATTTATTTCCATTTATTTCTTTACCGTCTTTTCCCGCGCCAAGAAAGGCCCGGGAAGCTGGGGATGCGCCGCTGGCAGCCCCAACCGCTGCATGCTTCCTGCTGCTGCTGTTGCTGCTGCTGCTGCTGCTGCTGCTGCTGTGTGGGTGCGAACAGCTCTTTAAAGCCACTTCTGCTGCTCTTTTTAAGGCACATTTGAATTTATTTCCCCAGAAAGACGAACATGTGAAGTGGGAAGCTGCCTGCTGCTGCTGCTTTCCGGAAACAGCATGAAACGCAGAAAACAGCAGCAGCGCGGAAAGCCAGGGAAAGCGGGCCCAGCTAGCACTTCCCACAAGACACGAGAATAACTGCAGCAGCACTGCAGGCCAACAAAGCAGCAGCTGCTGCAGCAGACGCTGATTCTTCACGCCCTGCTACTGCTGTTGCTTCTGCTGCTGCTGCTGCTGTTACACACCCGGACGGGTGACGCCCAGTAAGGGCCGGAAGGGAAGCAGCAGCTGGAGAAGGGGTTTAGAGAGCGGTTGGCTTAGTAGCCTTAGTCGCAGCAGCAGCAGCAACAGCAGCTTGAGCTGCAGCCGCAGCTGCAGCAGCAGCTGCAGCAGCAGCTGTGATGGCTGCCGTGCGGCGTCTCTGCAACCTCATATCTGCTCGAGGGGCGATTTCCCCAGTTTCGTGGTATCTGCCTGGGACAGCAGCAGCAGCAACAGCAGCAGCAGCAGCAACAGCAGCAGCAACAGCAGCAGCAACAGCAGCAGCAGCAGCAGCACCTGTTGGACTGGCAGCTCCACCTGCTGCAGCACAGAAATGCTGCTCGAGTTTTAGGCTACTTCCCTCCCCGTTTGTAGCTGGTCCTGCTGCAGGGCTTTCCAGACAGCCTTACTTTGCGCTTTGCTGCAGCAGCAGCAGCAGCAGCAGTCGGCTCCTTGGCCGTGACGTGCTATCGAGCAGCAGCAGCAGCAGCAGCAGCCGCAACAGCAGATCCAGCGGCCGTGAGATCCCCTCCAGCAGCTGGAGCCGCAGCAGCAGCAGCAGCAGCTGCCTCAGCGGCCGCGACGTCCTCTCTATCCGCAGCAGCAGCAGCAGCAGCAGCAGCAGCAGCAAAGTGCGATTCTACCGCACGCGGATTAACTGGATGCGCGTGCGCTTCCGAGCTCGCGTGTCTTACTTTTTGAGGAAGCAGCTGAAACCCAAAAACCACTCCAAAGTTCTCACCAGGTTTCGCCTTTCACGGTGAGCTGCTGCTGCTGCTGCTGCTGCTGCTGCTGCTGCTGCTGCTGCTGCTGCTGCTGACGCTGGTGACGCGGCTGCCGCCACTGCTGCTCCAGCTGCTACGAGGGCGCCACGGCCGCTGAGTCCGCTGCTCCTGCTGCAGCTGCTGCTGCTGCTGCGACTGCGGCTGCGGCTGCTGCTGCTGCTGCGGCTGCTGCTGCTGCTGCTGCTGCCGATGATAATGGATGATCTGTGTATTCCTTGCTTATTGTTTATAATTTAAATTTAAACTCATAATTTGCTTTTTTTTCTGCTGCTCATTCGTCAAGCTGCTGCTGCTGCTGCTGCTGCTGCTGCCTTTTGCTGCTGCAGCTTCGGCTGGGAGCGGCTGCGGAAGGGGCGGAATGGAGTGAAGTTTAATTTGGTGCGCTGAGAAGCTAAAAGGAAATAAATTAAATTAAATTAAATATTTATTTATTTTATTATTTATTTATTTATTTATTTATTTAAATGAATTGAATGAATTCGTCAAAAGGATGGAGCTGCTGCTGCTGCAGCTGCTGCTGCCTCCTTTTCTCCTTGGTGTTTGGATCCTGCCGTGCTGCTGCTGCTGTTGCTGCTGCTGCTGTTGCTGCTGTTCTTGTTGCTGCTCTTGCTGCTGCTCTTGCCGCTGCTGCTTCAACGCTGTTACTGCGTCTGCTGCTGCGGCTATTGCTGCTGCGGCTGTTGCTGCTGCTGCTGCAGCTGGTTAGTCAGAGACCTGCTGCTTCTAACTTGCTGCTCCGTCTTGAGTATAAAACAATTAATTCTTTTAAATTCTTTTTTAAATTAATTATATCCTTTTAATTCTTTTTTAAATTAAATCATTTTAATTCTTTTTTGAATTTCTCAGACAGCAAAACAATTCCGCAAAAAGTATTCCATTACTTACGTTTCCAGACACGACCTGAAGAAGTTCAAGTACCAAACTCCAGGATACAAGCTCAGGTCTGCTGCTGCTGCTGCTGCTGCTGCTGGTGTTGCTGTTGCTGCCGCTGTTCGTGCGGCTTTGCTGCTGCTGCTTGTGTTGCTGCTATGTGTGCCACTAGTGCTGCTGCTGCTGCTGCTACTGCCGCTATTTGTGCTTCCGCGGTGCCGTTGCTGCTGCGTGTGCTGCTGCTGCCTGCGTTGCTGCTGCTTGAGCTGCTGCGGCTACTTGTGCTGCTGCTGCTGCTGTTGCTGCTGCTGCTGCTGCTGCAGAATAAGAGACCCCCCTTTGGACTCAAACCCGAATTTGCAGCCCGTAAGAAAGTGCCTCCCCTCATACTTTGGCTAAGCCGTGCAACAGCAACAGCAGCAGCAGCAGCAGCTGCTGCTGCTGCAGCAACGCCAGGCCGTGCTGCAGCTGCAGTTCCTGCAGCAGCTTCTGCAGGACCTGCAGCAGCAGCAGCCGCAGCTCGTGCAGCAGCAGCAGCTGCTGCTGTTTCTTTTTTCTTGTTGAAAAGGACTTAACTTTCAATTCCGAATTTTAGCTGCTCAACAGTGGCAAGTATAAAAGTAGTAGCAGCAACAATGAAAATAATAATAGTAATAATAATAAAATTAATAATAAAGTTAATAATAATAAGTAAATATATAAGTAAATAAATAAATAAATAATAATAGTAATGCCTTTAGGGCCTGAGAAGGGCTTGGTGCGCTGCATTTGGGCAGCAGCAGCAGCAGCTGCTGTTGCTGCTGCTGTTGATGCTGCCGCTAGAAGCAACGAGAGGCAGCAGCAGCAGCAGCTGCTGCTGCTGCTGCTGCTGCTGCCTGTGAGCTCTCTGCTGCTTCTGTTGTTCCTCGTGACTTCAGAGCTGTTTGCGGCTGCAGCTGGCGAAGATTAATTTAATTTGAACAGATGTCGCTGCTGCAGCAGCAGCTGCTGCAGCAGCAGCAGCAGCTGCAGCAGCAGCAGCAGCAGCTGCAGCAGCAGCAGCTGCTGCTGCTGCTGTTGCCAGCAGCAGCAGCGGCTGCTGCTGCAGATTTACCCTCAATGCTAATCAGAATTAATGATTTTAATTAGAATTTTGAATTAATAATAGAACAGTAAATAAATAAATAAAATAATTAAAAATTAATTTAAAAATTAATTGCAAGTAAAAAAGGCTGACCGCGGGGCGCTGTCTCAGGGGAAGTCTTCTTTGATTTCTTCCGCAATTAGTTCAAATTAAATTAAATTAAATTAATTTAATTTAATTTAAATTAATTTAAATTGATTTAAATTAATTTAAATTGATTTAAATTAATTGCAATTTACTTGTTTTTATAAATAAATAAATTAAAAATGTCTCAGCCGACAGCAAAAAAGAAAACTTAATTTTTGAATGCAGCAGAAGTGAAAGCTGCTGCAGCAGCAGTTGCTGCAGTAGAAGCAGTAGTAGCCGCTGCAGCAGCAGCAGTAGCAGTTGCAGCAGTAGCAGCTGCAGCAGAAGCAGTGGCAGCTGCAGCAGAAGCAGTAGCAGCTGCAACAGCAGCAGCTGCGACAGCAGCCACTGCAACAGCAGCAGCACTAGCAGGTGCAGCAGCAGCTGCACGAGCAGCAGCAGTAGCAGCAGCAGCTGCAGCAGTAGCAGCAGCAGCAGTAGCAGCTGAAAGGAGCTGAAGAAGAGGGGGGGGGTGAGAAAAGGCGAGTTGACTTGCAAATTGATTTAATAAATTAATAGATTAATTTAATTTATTTTTCAATTGAAAATTAAATAATTTATTAAATCAAATTAAGACAATTCAAAAACAGCCAAACTGCTGCTACGTGCGACGCGCAAGCTCGCGCTCCATCGTCTTCTTAATCTGCAGCAGCAGCAGCAGCAGCAGCAGCAGCAGCAGCAGCTAGAGCTGAGCCAAACCAACAGCAGCAACGGAAGCAGCCCAGGGAGGAGCACGGCAGCAGCAGCAGCAGGGCAGCTGGAGCACCAGCAGCCGCAACAGCACCAGTAGCAGCAGCAGCAACAACAGCAGCAGCAGCAGCAACAGCAGCAGCAGCAGCAGCAGCAGCAGCTCACCTGCTGCATCACGTCTTGGCTCTGCTCGTTGACGCTGCTGATCTTCGCCATGATTTGCTCTTGTACAGCCTGGGCCAAAATAATAAATAAATAAATAAATAGAGAGTAAATAAAACTAAATCAAATTAATTAAATGGAACACACGGGTCACTGTGGCTAGCTGTGGCTAGCTGTAGCTAGCAGTGGCTAGCTGTGGCTACCTACTGTAGCTAGCTGTGGCTAGCTGCTCCTAGCCACTGCAGCTAGCTGTGGCCAGCTACCGTAGCTAGCTGTGGCTAGCTGTGGCTAGCTGTGGCTAGCTGTGGCTAGCCACTGCAGCTAGCTGTGACTGGCTACTGTAGCTAGCTGTGACTAACTGTGGCCAGCTGTGGCTAGCTAGCTGCAGCTAGCTACTGTAGCTAGCTGTGGCTAGCTGTGGCTAGCTGTGGCTAGCTGCTGCTTACCGCGAGGTGGGCCATTCCCGCCTGAGTCTCTTTTGCCTTTTCCCTCATGTCTTCTATAAGAGAGCCTCGGGGCTCCAAAACAAAGCTAAAAACAAACAGCAGCAGCAGCAGCAGCAGCAGCAGCAGCAGCTGCAGCAGCAGACCCTGTAGCAGCAGCAGTGCCAGCAACGGCACCGCAGCGGCAGAACGCAAGCGCTAACAGCAAAATCAGCTGCTGGCAGTCGTGCTGCAGCAGCAGCAATAGCAGCAGCAGCAGCAGATCTTGCAGCAGCACATGCTGCAGCGGCAGCTGCAGCAGCAGCAATAGCAGCAGCAGCAAGGCCTACAGCCTGGCTATTTGCCTGTACACCTTAGCCTCTGGCCGAGCTTCCCGC